AACTGAAAAACGTACTCGACACTTGGAGAGTTTTTTCAAATGGAAAATCAAAGGAATTGACGCTTCTGGAAACGATGGGTGTCTTGAAAGCGAGCCCATGCAATCGATGACAATATCAAGCCACCTTGAGATGATTTGTTCAGCAACCTATGCAAGCAAAAAGAGATAAATAATACTCCATGGACAAATCACTCACTTGAGGCATTTCGACCTGAGCGTCTGATAAGCGAACAACCAAATCGGTATCGGGTGGTTTCTGAACCCTCGTTTTTCGCAGCAATTCCACTAGGTCCCTTCTGCTGAACTCGGGCATTCTTATTTCCCCACATGCGTCGCGTTGTTCAAACGCTTCTTCTGCTTCGTCGAACCGTTTTTCATCCGAGGCAGAGGGCGGCAAACTTTTTCATAATGAGGCAAAAGTGTGTTTCCTAATGCGATTAAATGAGACCCTAGAGGAATTAAACGCTCCAAGCGATTCATAAGATCGCATTGCAATTGAAGACAATGAAGAACAAATGGAATCCGATTCTATAAAAAATAAACACGAACGAAACAAACATAAACAAAATAAACAGAAATATGAACAAATAGATACAAGTGAAACAAACATGAGCGCCTTTAAGACTAAAAGGGACGCTTACAGACGTATTAAGCTCAGATTTGACTGCGGCAGTAAGTGCAGTCGATAGAGGGAAGGCAAGCTCCATCAGTTGCCCTCCAACGGACGATATAGCTTGAACCAAAAACCTTGCAGCCATCACAAACGACCAGCTGAACAATTTCCTCTCTGTTTCGTCGACTCTGAGGGCCAGCAAAATCAGACGTAGAAGCTTTCAAATCTCTTCTGCTTTATTAACACGTGCTCTTACCGCTTAGACCGAACTTTAACGGCTGCATCAGCGGATGCTCCTTGAAGCCCCATTCGCTGTTGAGAGCGCGCAATTAAAGCATTTCTCGCAATCAAAGATAATTGACGAACGACCAAAAAGATGACGCGATAAGCAACAGAAGACCGAACACTGCGTAACAATTCACTCAGGCAATTTAAAATGAACTGATAACCAGGCGCAACAGCCCATGAGTATCTGATAGAGAATAAGAAATGAGGTCTTCAAAGAAATGAGTTATTACCCTCACCCGCGTCGCTTGACCACAAGCATAAATGCACGATAGCACTCGCTCATTACCGATTGTTGAGATTCTTCGACCGTATCGTTTAACTCAGTGGGAGTCATTTTGTCACTCTTGTTTTTTCGACGTAATTTGAGACAAATTGTATGGAACTTGGGTTCTCCAAGAAGGCCCACAAGTTTATGAAGCACAGCAAACGCTGCAGTAGGACACCCGAAATTGTTTGGTTGGGACTTGACAGATTCCAACAAGAGCGGAATCAAGGACGAAACAAACTGAGCTCGACCAGTTTCAGGCAAACAGACAAGCCATCGCAGCACCGAAGAGGAAGCAAGATGAGAAAGAACGATCTGCGAACACACGTCGAGTCAACTGTTCATGAAGAGACCCCTTACTTGTTTCGATTCCTGTACCCCTTCTGCTGTTACCTTTCCCTGGTAGTACTTCAATAGAAGCGTAGTATCGATCCAAAATTGATTGATGAGTGTCACAAATACAGTCTTGATACTTCCAGGTGGTGGAAACACAATTCGTATGTCTTCTCTACTCGATTCTACTGATGGAAGTCGCACCTCCAGCATTGTCCCAATATGCTGAGCTACTGACGACACGACTTCATTGAACACTTCGAAGGCTTCATCATCTTCATCTTCCACGTCCAGATGGAAAAGCAATTTTGCGGGAGTCATCGGATGTTTTTTCTTCTCTTCTTTAACTTTTATTTCCTTTTGTTTGAAATTTTTTTTCCCCACTTTCGGATCTAAACGCTTTCCATTATCTTCAGTCTCCTCCATTCGAGTGATTGATCGAATGACTCCTCTATACGCAGCCAACAAAAGAGTTAAACTACGCGTCGATTCCGACTCTTTCGCATTTCTAAAAATTGCTTCAAATCGATCAATCGTAAGTTTCGATCCCATGAAAGATGTTTTATCCTCTTGTTGCTCCTTATCATCATCTTGTTCGTCCGGTGTTTCATCAAGCTCTTTCCCAAACTCCAATAATTGTCGATCATTTTCCAGTAGAAATTGATAAAATTCAGGATCTGCAGTCTTCAATTCTTCAAGCTCTTTTTCATGCTTCGCTTCATCATCATCGTCCCCCACATTTTCCACCACTTCTTTTTCACCATCCACAACGTCCCTATCACTTCCATCACTATCAATTAAGTCCACGGCGAAGGCTTTTTGCTGTGCGACTGGCAATTTTTTCAAATAGTCTTCAAACTGTTCGTCTTCCCGTTCAAGGTTCTTGCTCGACTGTTTCGATGTCGCCGCCTCATTCTCTGCTTCTCGCAGAACGGCCCTTCTTTTCACTGGAGGCTTGTGCGCGGACTTGGAAGGTGCGCGTCTCTTCGTAGCCCCCATAACGTGTCAGGTCCGCGACAGGTGGTCCAATTCAAGCAGTATTTAACAGAAATACAAGTGCAAACAATCAAGACATGATCAAATCAAGACACCCCCTCCCTGGCTAACGTAGAGGGTTATTTGATCTCCCTGATCACAAAGAGAGGTTCGTCATGGACCGCAGCTTATTCATTCATACTTGGCGGAAATGCTTCATTGAGAATCGATCATGCTGAAGTCCCAATCTTGGCAAAGCGCAAACAATTGGAAGCGAAGAGGGACGAACGCACGCTTCGAGTCCCAACCACCTTTTAGCGTTGGGAACTTCTCCTGAAATGGGGTCATCGTTTGCGGACTAGAATTTGGGACTAGATCATACCAAGCTCTCCAGCGATAAAATGTGATCGTGAGAGAATAATATCTATTCCAGTGAATTCTGTCTTCTGGTGTTTCCATTGAGGACCGAAATGATCTGCGATAAAAATGAATGATGAAGGAATGTGGGAATGGAGGAAGGGAATGAAGAACAAGCTTACAGGGATCTAGATGAATGAGAGAGTATGTGTGGAGGAAGAGAGTGAGAGAGAGATTTGAGAGAAATTAATCCTTACCATTATTCTGTAGTCGTTCACTTGTTGTTGGTTGAAATTGATCTAAATTCATCCTGTAATGAACAAGACTGAAGCGTTGATGATTCCTTGTTCTTTACCATAGTTGGGTGGGACGCTCTAGTTCGCAGTGTTGTCCAAATGAACGATACGGCTCATTGACAAATTCGAGTGGCATCCACGAAATTGAATTCTTATCCACGAGACCGAACGCATTTGCAAGATTCACAGGAATCTCTATATAATCATCCACACATATAATTGGGACATTTGGCATCGATGCGACCATCAATTCGTCGCCATGGAATCGGCACATGTCCCTTTGTATCCAGATGTGGCGTTTTCCTTTCCTCAGGGTTTCAAATCTACAATTCCGGAAGAAAGGAAATACTTTTTGCACGACGCGTCAATATTCACCTAAATTGCGCCTGATACTCCCGCTGAAGGGGTTTCGCGCTAAAACTGCTTGCTGTGGGTGAAATAATTGTTCCAGCCCCGGGGCTAGGGGGTTCAACCGGTTCAGGCGCCAACCGCGTTGAGGCCAGAGGATCACCGTTACAATAGTCGGATTCTGAGCTTGAATCAGAGCTTTGTTCAATGCCACTATCGCTGAATCCACGATAGCATTGACGGCGTCTTGGTTTCACATTTCTCGGCGTGACGACGGTTGGAATGATGGGAGGAGTAGGGCGTGTTCCATAGCTGAACGAATATCCGATCTGTGTGCATTGATTTTGACATCGAGATAAAACCTGAAACAACGAGAAGATGCGTGTGTTCACTGAGAACGACTCACTTTGCAGTAGATAAGAAGATCGATTCGCACTGCTGATGGTTCTGCTGTGAAGATGGGTTGGATGTTCAACGTCGCTGATTCGTACTCAAGATGACCGTCTTGACAATACGCAGCACGGAAGGCGTCTAAAATGGGTTCGCACTGGCGCCGCAGATGTCCGTAAATGGATATCAGCCAGTGCGGACAGACGGACAAACACTTCGGCAGAGTCGCATCCATCACAAAAGGAAGGAAAGAGTTCAGAATTTGGGGTTCCAAAAAGGGATGGTGATTTTGTGTTGCGCCATGGACTAGTATTTTCGCTTGACTTCGACTTTTAATTGATTTAATTATTTCACTCATTCCGGTTTCATCTCCTTTTTCTAATCTTTTTTCGGACTGAGTGAAAGCTGTACTCGAAAGTTCTTCTCCAGACGGATTGTCCGATCTTTTCCCCATCTGTCGTGCTCTCATTGCAGATATCCTCGTCCGGCATGTATTCTCCATAATCCCAGAATGAACCTCTTCGCTCAGCTATTGACGATGAAATGTCTCTCCGCGTCGGAGAGAAGCAGCAGCCTCGACCGTGCCTTCTGAGATCGCCACTTTCACCATCCAAGCCCTTTGAGGGTTCAGTTACTGGTCTTTGCGAAGATGAAACGATAGTTGTTGGGAGAGTCTGGTCAATATGTTTGCACGCCGCATCGTATGGACGGGCTATTAATTGAGGTTGAGGTTGCGGCTGTGAATTTCCCATTCTTACATTGAACTTAGCAGGAACGGTACTGTTTGTATCCAAAGGGGGCGATAGAGATGCAAAATCTTAGCAAATATTATCTCTACTCGTCTTACACACTCCCTCACTTCAAAAGCCACTTCTTATAGGCCTGCAAAAAAGGTTCCCAGGTCAAACTGCTGATCAGAAAATTAAGGGTAGCGGGATGAATCCCCAGGAACGGCAAGCTGCCGATTTGCGTGCGCTTTCAATGGCACAAATGCAGCAACAACAAGGGCAGGTAAGTCAGTCGTATGTGAACGAATGCACTTTGGGGGTGTTACAGCAAACCGCGATGAACGAGCAAATGGAGGCACAAAAACAGTAAGAGAGATTCATTCGCGTTGTGGGGACAACTGGTTTGATCAGAGCAATAGAAGAGCAGAGAAACGCCGTTCTGAAAACGCATCTTGAGCCAGAAGCTCTAGAACGATGTGAGTTCATTTTAATTCATATTTTAATTCACGATTTCTCAGTGCGCAGAGTGGCTCTCGTCAAACCAGAGAAGGCGAAAGCAGCCGAGAACTATCTTCTTCAGGTAAGAGGAAGGATTCAAAACTGTGGCCATGTCTCCACTCAGCTTATTCGGGGTGGTGCTGCTCAACGTGGGCAGATTGATGAAGAAACAGTTCGTGGCGTTTTAGAGAAAATGAGTGAAGCTTCAGGAAAAGGAAGTGGGGCAGGAAAAAATCCAGGTAGGCTTTTTCCTTCAACAATTCTGATGATTTTTCTTTGTTTCAGTTTCGTAGAAAAAAATTCGGGTCTGACGATGAAGATGATGATTTCTGAGAATTTGTCTCCCTTGAACGCGTGATCCCATTTTTGTTTATCAACGCACAAACTCTTCTGCTTTCGATTCGAAAATTGACTTGGGACTCACACCATCAGCATCTTGATATTGGGACATTGCCTGGTAGATTCAATTTATTTTGTCTTTTTTGGCTCCTCTCCATCAGATTCATCATCCTTGAATGTTTGATCAGTAATTGTCGGGGAAAGCATTCCTTTTGGGACACCGATAATCTCTTCTATTGGTGTTGCTTCGACATCGATTTTCACATACAATCCAGCCAAATAGGCGGCGAGAAGATTGGCAGTTCCCAAAACAACCAACAGACTCCAATCCTTATGCGCCAACGCAGCCATTGCTGTGTACGTGAAGTTCAACATTGGCCCCCCCTTGGTGAAATTTGATCCCAAAGCAACAATTGAAGCTGTAATGAACGAGGCAGTTGCGTGAATGCCACGCGAACGAATATTAAGAACAGATGAGGGCGACCAAACCTCCACTCGCCGGATTGACTCCTTGATTTCCTTCTTCTTCTCTCCTGCCTTCGGTATCGCCAATTTGGACTCAAGGCGGGCTAATCGCTTCAGACGTCCGTCGACAATCGTCCAAGCCGCGTTTCTCGCTTGATGAGCGAAATCAAATAGAAATTCGATCAGAAAACAAAACAACAGTCCGCGGCTTCTTTGCCAAACCGCGTATCCAATCGACTTTGAGTATCCGGAAATTGCTTCGCTCACCAAGAAGCAGACCACGCCTGACGAGACGCAACCAACCGCAACTGGAAAGAAGTCTGAAGGAAGAGAGAGTTTCAAAAAGAAGATTATTGGAACGATGTTCCGGCGTACTTCCACGACTCTTTCCTTGTGCGATGAGCATGAGAGGAGCGCCAGGATCAATACAATTCCCTGAATGGCATTTGTTAGAATTCTGTTAATATATTAGACGAACCGACGCAGAGAAAACGTCTCCAAACATAATCGACTAAGAATGAACATGTAAAGAGTTTTCAGTGTGGGATCCCACGATGATGAAGGGAGAAGAGGGGTCTCGATGACATATCGAATTGCAAGACCGACATAATTGAGATATAACCAGAATACAGTTGATTCTAAGAAGACCGGTAGGGCGCGAACCCAGAAGGGCTCAACCATAGGAGACATAGAGAACAGGATTCACCGGCTGAAGTTCAGATCAGGTCCAATAGAATGATAATATGCGAACATCGCGCCGAAGGACTCCACGATCCTCACGACATCGAAGGAAGTCTCCGATAGAGAGTGGACGATGTTGTAGATGACGAATCATCATCGAGGGATTCGGGTCATGAAAATGTTCATCAAGATAAACGCAGTCGAAGAACATACGATGGAGGTGAAGGATCCCACTGTGGACATATTGATGACGACTTTAAACGATGGGTGATCAGTAACAGCAATATAAGTCCCTTGAATTCCCGCAAGCATGCAGAACCATCAAAGAGAAAAGAGACGAGAGTGAATCATCAAGGGACATCGAGCATCCCACAGTTGAACTATCCAGGACATCTCATGCAGGGAGATACTTTAATCCAAATGGATACAGACATTCAAACAAGACATCAAAGTCTTTCAGATTCATTCCAGCATCGTGGCACTCGAGTGAATGAACCTCTCTTTGCTCCAACTTTTCATTCTGATAATTCCAACGATTGGACTGCCCGAAAGACTTCTAGAAGAAATTCCGTCACTACAGGAGAGAGATTTCAATTTCCTTCTTTCTATTCCCATCCTCATTCCAGCCAAGTCTTTCACAGAATAGAAGAAGAAGAATCTCCCTATCAAATGGGAATAGACACCCGACTGGGATTTTCTCCACTGAGGCACCAAGAAATGAACTCGAATGATTATGTGAACGGAAGCCGATTGGGACAGCATCCTGTCCCATTGGGACATCACTCCTCAATATTGGGACGTCACACAAACGCATTACATCAGCAATTTGACTTGAATTCGTATCTAAATCGTCTTCAAAGCGACACGCGAAGGACTCAGGGAGAATCTGTCGGTTCCGGCTTTGATTGCAACGATCAATCTGCACTACAGCAAGTCCCAATTCTTTCGGCTGATGCAATCGCGCAATCCTCATCCCTTTATTTGAAATTCCGACACTTTTCTGGTTTTGGCGAAGGACCCGAACCACCAGGACTTTCCCCGAGCCGCCCGTCAACGTTCGGAGTCTCGCAGTGCAGTTCTTTAACGACCAACAATAATAAAAGACAATCCCTTAGTTCTGTGAGTTGCATAGAAGCTTCATCGAGACGTTTCTACGAGTTTCAGTTCAACGATTTTTTAATTTACGATTTTTTTCCGTGTTTGTGTTGCTCAGCGTGTGCAATCCATCGTTGATCCGATTATGAAAGTCTTCACTCCAGATCTTACCGTTTATGTTCGGAGCGTCGGTCTCATTCATGCAATTCCTGATTGCGTTCTTTATAACGAGGATCAATTGATGTTTTGTGGATCTCATGCGATGGAAACTGCAGCATGCTCGTTAATCATCTTTAATTCCACTCAGCCTACCCTGTTTGATTACCGTCGTGCAATTATCCACGCTGTCCTGATTTCCATCTCTGCATCACGTCGCGTCCCTGTTCTCTTAACAAATCTTGATGACATCACGTTGAAACTAAACATCCAAGAAAGCTCGTGTGGTAGGCGTCTCTTCTCTGTCTCTGTCTTCATAATTGCTACTACTAGGGACCGCTGTTGTTGTCTGCTCCCCTGTGGTTGGCGATTTCGCATCGACTGTTCTTGAATTTGCGAATTGCAGCGAAAATCATCGTGAGAAATTCAGTAGCTTCTCTCACTGATAAACATGTTTCTGACAGAAAACACCTCTCCGGCCGAAATCGAAAGCTCGTGTCTCGTAAAGGAAAGAACGATGGGAAGTCAAATGGCGCAGGCCAACAAAAAATCTATTGATGAGAAATTGACTGAGAAACGGTGCGCCAAAAAGCGAAGGAAACAGATGATTGAGAATGAATGCGAGACTACCCGTGAGGATCAGAGTTCAATGTCGGATGGTGTCGAAATGGGAAGGAAGTCTACAGATGGATCGAACCACACAGAGATCGACCAACAGAAGAAGAAGAGAAGAAAAATTGTTTCAGAAATGAGTGGCAACAGTATGGATTCATCTTGTGAGTTTATTCGTGCTTGGTTGAAAAAACCCCAAGTTCAAGAAAACAACAAAACAAGAGGAAGTTGTGAGACTCGTGATGAAGAAATTCAAGAGAAGAAGACGGTGCAAGGAAACGCAGAAGAAATATCATCCCCGCTTAGAATTACAAGATCGATAGCAAGAGCTGAATTGGAGAAAAATCATATTGAGGGATTGAACACATCTGAAGGGATTAATGCAGTGGGAGAGGAAGGCGAAAAAGAGAAACCAGAAGAAGAGCTTGTTAGAAATTGTCGTTTGCGATGGAGTTCGCCTGAAGCATCGGAGACAAACAGTGCTGTCGAGAATACGCATACACCAGAAACGGGAAATGATCGACGGAGGCAACGACAAGCTGTTAGAGAGAAAGTACCTGGTGATAAGGAAATGGCTCCCAGGCCTCGCAAACGAAGATCTGCTGCCGCGAAGAACAAGCCAGCCTCCAGTGTGTTGTCTTCTGATCCCATGCATCAGTCTACAGAGGATGGAGCAGAGCAAGGACCTCCATCATCACCAGAAAGTTTGCCGTCTGTAGAATTTGATCAATCTGTTTCGAAGCGCAGTCAATTGTCTCAAGCACTTCATCGATTTGGTTTGCAAGTTTTAACAGTAAAAACGGAACCAAATGAAGCTCAAGAGTGATCACCTCCCGCTAGTTTTTATGTGGTTGCATCATCAGCGAAATATCTGTGGGGTGAAAGACACAAACACCAATTGAAACCATTCAGATGCAACAGATGTGGTGGGTGAAGATGCCTTTTATTTCTGAAGACGTTTTCAATTCTCGGAAGCAAACTCTCAAAAGCTTTTGTAATGAAAACAACAACTTCACGGAAATCTCAATTATTGTTTGAAACTACTGTGGCGCCGAAATAGCGGAGACTGAGAGGAGGCTCTAAGACGAAATGGAGGTCAGTGGATTGTCGAGCAACCACTTCATCGCGCATCGCTTTAATCTAACAGAACGAAGAGGTGATGAAGGTATGGGAATAAAGACGATGATGAAGATATATGGATGATGAAGATATATGGATGAAGATATATGGGGAATGGATGATGGGAGGATGAGAATGAAGGGACTTACATCTGAAAGACGACATGGTTCTGTAATGATGGCGAATGGCACGCGATTTTTATCCTTAATAGGAATCTGATAGGACGACAATTTGAGATACAGAGAATTCGACCCTTCTTACTTGGAGGATAGAGAAAATTGGAATATTATGTTTCATCAACACTTCAGATATTTTGAATATCACACCCACATGATCGACAACTGTGATACTGGAGAAAGAGTTAATTGTTAACATAGACAAGCGCACCGAATGTAGAATTCAGCCTTGTGGTCAGAGACAATAGCCGGCAGCTTGGAAGACGGCATCATCGGAAACGCAGACGTCACTACAACAAGAATAGACGAATGGTGTTTAGAGAGTCGAACGAACCACGCGTTGGATTAGCGACAAGCTCCAGAAGATCCGACGCGACGGAGTTGGCTGTCGGAAATCGTCCAGCGCCAGGCCCCACGTAAAGAGAACATCCTGAAGAAGGAATTGCTTAGAAGAGTGGACAAGATCTAATAGGGTAAAGAGAGTGGAACTGGCGTCTAACCGAGATTCGATGATTCGACTTCTACCGCGTTCGTTGCGCCATCAACGTGAGCGAGAGGATTAGAAACGGGGACCTGATTAAGCTGAAAATCTCGAGCCCTCCACGACAAAGATCTCAAGAATTTTACGCCATAGAAGATTATCTCACCAGCACGGGGCAGACTGATAGTGCAATATGCCGGCTGGCTGATCCATTCATGTTTCCGTTGATGTCTTCTTCGTTTATCTCTTCCGCAATTCCCAACAATTTGATTGTATGATTCATCATTCGACCATATTCAAAATCAACAGACTCAATTTGGGAAATTCCTTGACAAGGGAGTTTGTTTTCATCTACAACGGATCGACCACATCAAATTGTCGGCTTCATGCGCCAACACACCGACTGTCACTCCGAATGCCAAGCGGGCTAAAATGCACAACTTTGAACGCGCGTCATAACCGTCAACATCAGCAGAAGGATTCGCTTCGGCGTATCCGAGTTGCTGCGCGGTTTTCAACGCCTACAGGCCCAACACGTCGAAGAGCCGTGAAAGGAAGTACAGGCCTTGCACTTACAGAACTGTAGTCCATTCCCTTGGAACCCATTTCGGATAACATGTAATTTGTTGTCCCATTCATGATGCCGATGACCCTTGTAATGTGGTCTGGTGCCAAACTGCGTTTCATAACGTTGATGATTGGGATTCCTCCACAGACGGCAGCCTCGTAATGAAATTGAACGCTCCGATGAAGCTGGGAGGGAGCATTGTTGTTTAGAGAGAACCATCTCAAACTCACTTGCAACAAATTAGTGATTTCATCCAAATGAAGAGAGATGAGGGCTTTGTTTGCTGTAACAACATGCTTGTTCTACACAGAAGTTGGTTTGGGTTCGATGGAAGAGTCCATATACTCACGTTCTCAATTGCACCCTTCACAACGTCCCAGGCCAGGGTCGTGCCCCCCATCACTTCGACCTACAACGAATCATTCACTGCTACTCAATCAGGATATTCGCTTACGACACAATTGATTTTGGGATCACCAAGAATTTGATCGATGTGTGTTACAAATTTCAACCCTGGTGGAATATTTTCACGAGCCTTGTTTGGATGAGCGACGAACGCCTTATGGAATTGAAAACGAGAATCATCCCTGCCAAGCGAAACTGTTACAAACACGCTATTTGTGTTCCCACTGACTGAAGAAGTTTGAGAACTCCACCTCCGACAGTTCCCAGACCGAAAATACCGATTGTGAGCTGATTTTGTTGCATTGCCATTAACAGTGGTGCATGGGGTTCACACCTGGTGCATGCGGCATGTCGATGTCTCCAAACGAAAAGCAAGACAACGACAAAAATGAGTGAATGCTGGAATTTATCAGAATCGTCGTTTGAAATTCTGGATGAGAATGGCGAGGTAAGAAAGAAAACTAAAATTTTGAGGTTATCGATTTTAGAGTTCAGAGCTGAGACAATGTCCCAATCGGCCTATCACTCTTGACTACCTTGCCACGAAGTTGAATGTCGTCACTCATAGGCTTGTAGGTCTTGCGTTTGGTGTATTTTGAGTCCCATTTGCATCAGAGTGGAGAAGAAGACGATCCGGGACTGAAAGCTCTCTTGAAAAAGTTCAATGTTAATACAACTGATGTCGTGACTTTATCATTGGAAGCTTGTGGTCTTGAAAAGTTGGAAGTATGGCAGAGACTGGTTGAATTGTTCTGTAGCTTCAGATTTACATCCAAGCTTGATTGATTTCAGGATTCTGCTGCTGAGCACATCCACGCTGACTCTGAGTTGCGATACATATTGGATGGTTCAGGATACTTTGATGTGAGGGATAGAAATGTAAGTGGAATGTTGGAATGTATATGAATGGAATGTTGGGATGTATATGAATGAGATGTTGTATATGAATGGGATGTTGTATATGAATGGAATGTTGTAGATGTTGTATATGAATGAGATGTTGTATATGAATGAGATGTTGTATATGAAATGTTGTGCATATGAGTCGAATGTCTCATTCAGGACGAATGGATTCGAATCTGGTGTCGCCGGGGGGATTTGATTTCTCTTCCAGCGGGAATTTTTCATCGATTTTGTTTGGATCAGACTTCCCATTTCGTCAAAGCGATGCGCTTATTCGAGAGTATGACGGCAAGATAGGTGTTGACGATTCTCATTCCTCTCCAGGTGATCCCAAATGGAAACCCGTCTACCGTCGGGATCCTGGAACGGACTCCCATCCAGCGTACATTTCCTACTTGGGATCATTGGAGTAGAGAGACCGCAGACTCTGGTATCACTGCAAACTCAGAAGCGGTTCCGGGGCCACGAAGGATTTGATATTTGCTTTGTACAATTCTGTCACTTCAGATTGTTCCTTCTTGATTGAAGACAAAAGGTAGAAGGAACAGTGTTGTAGCATTTCGACCATTTCACTGATTTCCTAGAAGAAGAAATTTAGGATCAAATGTGTTGTTTCATATCTCACTTGAACGGAGCGGATTGAATCGATCTGGCGTGGCTTTGGGACATTCAGTCGATTCAAACATCTCAAAATGTCTCGAGAGTTGAGAGAACAGAGAAAGTGTCGACCGCGATGAGCAACAAATCGGCACTTAAGTGGTTCATCGTTGTGGCCATCGATGACGAGATTGAGACGCGTGCCTTTTGGTATTGATTCTTCCGTTTCGAGGACGACCAACCGACGACGAATGACCAAAGACGACAAACTGCGCGCGACGACTTCTTGTCCCACGTAGCACCTGAAATCATTGAATGGGGCGAAGAATTACAGGAAGGAATCAGTGAAACTGTTTACCCCTTCGATGTGCTCAAATATCCCAACAGGTCATAGTTGAGACTAAATGGAAGGTAGGAATCCAAGGAGTTGATGACGCGCGGTTCATCCATCGATTTGGTTGCTTCATTGACGTCGAAGACTGTGAGGGAATCATGCGGCTCGAAGACACCATGAGATATTCGCAGCTCATCGTAGTCAGATTCAGTCTAACCACACATACAGATACAGAAATCAAATAATGGATTCAATGTATACCAGAGATTGGAAGGATTTTGTTAATGACTTGAAATTGTCAGACGATTTCTCATGGAGTAATCTCAAACCCAACAGCGAAGGCCAACGAGGATCTAAAAATTGAAGCCCGCCAGCCTGGATAGCGAGAGAGGACGCTTCAACTGTCGAATCACGAGAAGATGGCAAAATCTGCACCGCCGATAGCTCCGATTCAAGGTTCTCTATTGAGATCTTAGAACGTAATTTCCGTTTCTGAAGTGACAAGAACTAAAAAAAAAAAAGTGTGAAAACACCTACAGCGAGCAGTTGCAGCATCGAGGAAGTTGATGAGGCATCGTGATCAATAAGGAAATCGAATTGTGCAGTTTTAGCGTCGCTGTGCTGTCTGAAAAGTAACATTTTGAAATTGGCACAAGTCGCGCCTCACTGCTTCGGTTTGACAATGATTGTTTCAAATTGAATATGAGCGGTGGAATCAAGAAATAGCGACGGAAGGGATGAAGCATTGAAGCGGTCATCAATTTTGGAATGACTGCTGAAAAGTTCAAGATTTTGTGAAACGAGTGGTTGCAAAAATCTGAAAGAGAGATGACGCCGGTAAAATTGTTCTTGCTCTTACTTCAAACTATCTGCCCCTTTGATTCCGATCCAGCTTCTGTGACTTAGTTGCACAACAGAGGCCGCCATTTCAAAAATTAGGCTGTTCTTTGCACCAGGACAAGTGTGCGACAATACTGAATAGTTCGGTGCAGTAAATCAAAAACGGTACAACAATAATAAAAAGTTACCGCCGATACGATGGACCGGACGAAAGTACAATTTTCTTTCCTTTTTTCTTGCCGCCTGGAGAAACTCTGCCACGGGAAAGGATCAAGGAGAACGAATGAAGATGAGACCCTCACCCTCCTCCCTCTTTTGAACATTCCTCAAGCGCGGCATCAAGTTCTGCCCACTCAGATACGTTTGGTTCCATTCGTCTAGTTGACGCTAAATACTGTCGAGC